TCAGAGGAAAAGAAAAGAACACTTGGTTTCAAATAAACCTGGTTTGGTTGGGTGTGTTCAGCTCTTTGGGCTTGCACTGTCTGTCTAGGAAGCATGTGCATCTGCAGCGAGGAGGGTCCACGCAGGGAGAAGTAAGAGGCCACAAGGAGAGAAGAAAATGAAATGAAAATAAAACCACAATTTTTGGGTTTTGGGGTTGGGCTTTCTGGTCTGGTGGGGATTCCTGATCCTTTGGCTGTGTGGGAGCGTGCACGTGTCTGCTGCTGTGGGGGTGGGGGTGGGGGCGTTGTAGGGGAATAGGTGCTGGAGAAGGAAGAAATTTTTTTTTTTAAGTTTTAAAAACTTGGAAAGTGTTGCTTTGGTAGTGAAGATATCTGCACCAAGTTACCTAGGCGATCTGTTATCTATGCAGAGGCCCCAGAAGCCAGGAAGGCAGGAGATTTGGCTGGGTGGGGTGGGATCTGGGACAGGGCAGAATCGGTTTGCGCAAAGTAAGGGGGTGCATAGAAGCAGCTTGGGCCGAGAGGCAACAGTGAAGGGAAGTCAGTAACAATCAGCAGACGTTGCCGAGTTCCAACTTGAAATTTTTTGGTACTCAGCTTTTAGGATGTTGCTTTCTGCCGTCCAGGGAGCTCAGAGCTTCCCTCTTGGGGGCACCTTCTCCATTAGTTGCTACAATCTTCCTCATCGTGTTAACTGGTGGCCATATTCTTTGGATCCCTCCCTTAATTTCTGCTTATCTGGAAGTACAATTTCATCTTCTTCTTTGAAGGATCATTTTACTGGCTATATAATTCTTGACTGGCAAGTTTGTTTCTTTGAGATTTATTTATGTAGTATTTATTATCCCATTGCCTTTTTGCTTTCATGGTTTCTGCTAAGAATTCAGAGCTGAGCCTTATTAATTGTCCTTTTGCTTTTTCTGAGCTGCTTTCAGGATTCCTTGCTTTGGTTTTAGAGAGCTTGATGATGACATGTGTTGGTGATTTCCCTTTGGGATTCAAGGCTTGTTGGTCTTCTTGAATGTGTAACATATTGGCTTTCACGGTATTAGGGAAGTTTTCTATGTAGAGCTTTTGCGCGTGTGTGTGTGTGTGTGTGTGTGTGTGTGTGTGTGTCTTGCTATTATGAAAATCCAATCACATTATTCCTCTTCATAGTGTACACATAATTCTAAGATTTTCTGTTTTTTTCCTTCAATTTTCGGATTTTGCCTAAGGTATTGAGATATTTTATATCTCTAATTAGTCTTTGATAGCACTAATCCTATATTCCATTGATTAAATTCTATTCATTTGTCCTTCCAATGTATTGCCTATTTCTGAAATTTTAGTATTAAATGTTTGTATTTCTATCTCTTATTTATATTTGAGTTCTAATTTTCATTTATTTTCCTGAATTTTCCTAGGGTTTTTGTCTGTATTTGCTTTGATTTTGAACATGATTTTCTTGGTATTGTCTTTGATCTCTTTTTTAACCTGCTGAAATATCTTAAGTACAGTTCTTTTCCATTGTACAGGAGTATACTTTTTCAATGTTTTTTCATACTCCAGAAGAGTTTTGGGCCCTGTAGTTTGGTCACTTGCGTGAACTATCTTTTCCTCTAAGTGTTATTTGAAGTTGTCTGTTCTCTCCAAGACATTTTGATGTTGCTGTAGACATTTATTGGTTGTATGTTAGTTTGCTTCACTCTGATTTTTTGTTTTGTTTCTTTTATTATAACCAGGCAACAGAATTGAATTAACTTTCATATTCTCATTACATCTCAGGCGAAATCTCATTATTCAGGCAGTGCATAAGTAAATCAATTACACTCTGATTTTGTAAAAATGCTATGCCTTTAAAAATTATGATCATTTGGAGTGTTTTATTTATTTTTTAATCACTTTAGTGGGACTCATACAACTCTTATCACAATCCATGCATCCGTC